AGAAAAAAAAAAAAAGAAAAAAAGTAGAGGCACAGGTATCAGAATGCAGGTGTGGGAATGATGCTGATGGCAATATAAAAGGAACCACTAAGAGAGTGAAAAAAGCAAAATGAATCTACTCTTTCAATCAAACAAATCAACTAGTAGAAAGGTTATAAAACCTCTAAAAGTTAAGCACATGCAAATTGGCTGACATCTCATCCGATAGCAAGCATTATACACTTGATTATAAACACCACAGATGAAATTCAGCCCATATTGAGCACAACAGAAGACACATTTTTTTTGGATTCTCTGTTCATTGAACCCGTTTACATACTTCCATTCAAGGACATACAACCAGTAACTTCCACATCCCAGAAGCTATTTTCCTTTGGAGCTTACATCCAGTTGTAAAACAAAACATCCATGGTTCACTGAATCAGATTACACTCACGAACAAAGAGCACTACATCATCTAAAACCTGTAGCATTTTGCTTTAGGAACTCCCAACTGTTCATATTCCAGCCAAGATACATCATCACTAGAAAAATGATAATGCACTAAATTACCTTCATACCAAGTGCACATCAAATAGTTCCTATCCCACTCGACTAACGATATGAAGCTGACACCACTTTCAAGATCCTTATAGTCAGAATATCCAATCCATAATTTACCAACCAAAATCTAATCTCAACTCGACCAATGGGCAGAGGCCAAAAACAAAAAAACATAAACAGCCAAAAATAGCTAATATGGCACGACACCGCACTTAAATCCATAACTGAAACAAAAAGATAAGAAAACAAAACAACGATCCCTAACATTCTCGAGATCGTCCATTAATATAATCAAACAAAAACAAGACACGAATAATCACCACATATTCCACTCAAAGCACAACCAAATGGTGCGGAAAAATTTAATCCAACCGAAAGTGAACCTGCGGAGCAGCTAAGAGACCAGGGTGGTAAAGCGACTGCTGCTGGAGAATAGCTTGCTGCATCAAAGCCTGTTGCTGCTGCTGCTGCTGCTGCTTCAATCTCTGATTCTGCATTTTCGATCGGAAATCCAATTGAAAAAAAAAAAAANGTGATCGACGAGATAATCACAAGAGTTAGGGTTTGTCGATCGAAGCAAAGAGGGGATCCTCGAAGAAGTAAAAGAAAATAAATAAATGAGAGAAAATAAAATGAAAGAAAAAGACGAGCGAAATTGGAAAGAGGGGACTGACTGGAAAAAGGGGGGAAATTTTAATGCCACGGTAAAGGTTATTTATAGATGAGATTTTACCGGGTTGTATTTTGCCAAGCGGAACATATCCATATTACCCACCATGACACATGAACCAATCAATCAAGCTCGTATTGTATTCTCAATTAAGGATCACTCATATAAGGATATTGTGTCTTTTAAGTTAATGGAAGAGTTGATAACACACAACACATACGTGAAATCACGAACATGATATGAAAATATATCTTTTATGTGTATATATACTATATAGAAAGTATGTATATAAGTTTAAATTTTTTAAATTAATTACTAATTTAACTAACGAATTTCGTAATTCACAGACCACTAATTGTCGATTATGGAGTATTTGCATAGTTTTTAAATCCGGCTCGGTGATTGACCCGGGCAGGTCCTCGGGTCACCGGGTCAATTGTTGAACCGGATAATTAATTTAAGAATTTTTAAAATTATATATAGAGTATTTTTGTTATATAAATATACATGAAAGTAACAATAAATGTTTTGTGTATAAAATTTGTATATTAAAGTGTTAATAATATGTATTTCATGATAAATATTTACCATATAAACATATATACATATTTTTATTTTCAAAAAACAAAAAAAAATAAAAAAAATATAAAAAATATATATGGACCGGGTCAACCGGGTTGACCCGGCCGGGTCAATGCCCCGGGTCGGCCGGGTCTCTGCCGGGTCGGCCGGGTTTTGACCGGGTTTGACCGAGTCCTTGGTTGCCCAGTCCAAATACTCCACCCGGACCGATTCCGGCTCCGGGTCAACCGGGTCCCGAGTCGACCCGCCGGACAGGTTCGGGTCTCAAAACACTGAGTATTTGAAATGCGACTACGATTGTAAACATAATTTATTTGATTTAAATCAATTGGATAATTATTTTTACCATTTTCAAATCAAAAATCAATTCAAATCAATTCAATCAAACTCCCCACGATATTAACAATATAATTAAATAATATCAATCAATTATTATCACACATAATATCAATTTTAATTCACTATTCATCAATTCACATATTTTTAATTATCCATCAATTTCACCCACATGTCTTTTACTTTTATATCACATCAATTTTAATCATTATATTTTCAATAATATTTTAAACACAAATTCATAATTTTTACTCAATTCATTTTAATCAAAAGTAACACATTTTATTCAATAAATTAAAATACAATTCAATATTTTGTTTTTCAAGTCCAGTAATTAAACTATTAATGTTTCATAGCATCATCATATACGAGCAATCTGTGGAATTGTATGCATAAAGAGTACTTTGACCTTTAGAGCGTGTTTATATACAAATAAAATCGCTCAAAATGAGTTTTTTTGGTTAACCATATATATTTAGTTTTGAAAAAAAATGGTATGGCTAGTGGTAAGTAAGAGTTTAGTTTTATATTAAAATAATATTTAAAATAAAATAATTAAGGTTGGTTTGATGTAAAAGTAGATGAGAGATGGTGTGAAGTGATTGTTAGTTAAAATTATGTGATTAGATGAATAGTAAATTAAAGTTAATGTGATGTGTAAGAATGATTGGTTGTTATTATTTAATTACATTGATAAAATATTAATGATAGTGGAGTTCAGTTAAAATTGAGTTATATTTTGATAATGAATCGAGTCAGAATTGGGGTTTTTCATATACAAATTATTCCTTCGATTGTATTAATTTGTGAGTCTTTTCAGACTATCAAACTTTTACATGACTATTTTTAGTTTAGTGTTTCAATAATACAAATTGCAATGTGTTAATTATTTTGAATAATATATACTTATATTGTAAAATTTTGTATTTTTATTTAAATTATAATAATATAATTAAAAATATAAATAGTTATAATAAAAAAAATATGATTGCCTATGTAGCATTTTTATTTAGTACAGCTATCTCTTTTTTTATTGTAAGAGCATCTTTAGCGGCAGGTTTTGAAGAGGTTTATAAATGTAAACCTATGGGTTTTGTTGTTAGAAAGGAGAGGTTTAAGGTTTGATAACACAAACCTGTGTTAACTGTACAAACCTCCTCTAAACCTCTAAAAGTTGAAATAAAAAAATACAAAGAAAATAAAATGGTGAGGGAAAGTTGCGTGTCCATGTGCAGTGTGATGTAATGTCCCTTTTTTATTTTCTTTATTCTTTTTTCTTTTCAACTGATTTTTGTTATAATTTTTTTTTATCTTCACTCTTTTCCATATTTTCCTTTTTATTTCTTCTCTTTTACGTTTTTTAATTCCTTTCCATTTGTTGACAAATTTTATATCGTTAAAAAATTATAATAAATATTGAATTTTAATTTTTTGCTAAAATAATTTTGTTCAAATAGTGTATATGTACTTATGTAGTTATCACAAATATATATTCAGTTTTATTAATTATGGTGTTAACTTTATTATAATTTAATAAATTTTAATAAATATAAATAGTTAATTTACATTTAATAAATTCAATAATAGCAAAATAAATAAAAAAATAAATGAAGTTTTATTTTTTAAACATGTCTAAAATATAAATGTATAATTTTTTTTTAATAAAAAATGGAGTTGTATAAAATAAACAGTGATGAAGTTGTATTTTTAAAAATTATTAAATTATATAATTATAAATATATATATAAATTTATATGCATCTATATATATGTTTTGATCTGATCAACTTTAAATATCTATAATTACTTTTTTATGTATTTATAATAAATATATGAAATATTTAGATTGAATAAAAATAAAAAGTGTAGTTGTATTTTTAAAATATTAATAAAAATATAATAGTATAATATTAATTAAAAGTAAGTGGAAAATATGTGGGACCCATAAATATGAGGTTTATGAAGTTTATTATTATTAGAGGTTTATGAGTGTAGAAGTAAGAATGAAGTTTTGAGTGATGTGGAGTGTTGGGAAGTGTAAAAAAAGATTTATGAAGATGTATTGTTAAATATGCTCTTATATTGGTAAAACCTTGAAAAGGAGGTTTGTAAACCTCACAAAACACTACCGTTAAAGATACTCTAAAAGCAAAATCACAAATGTTGATGTTACTTTTACCTGGTTAATCTGCATTTTAAAAAATACATACTTATATATAATAAAATATCATATTGTTATATTTTTTTTTCTGAAAGTTTGATATTTAAGTATACAAATATTCTATAGAGCCATTGGATAGTTTTCTTATGGAGTCATTCACCATTTAATGTATTGACACCTGTCCAAAGGGTATTTATTGCAAGACACGTTTCAATACACTATTAGTGAATAAGTGTGGATGGCTCCATAACAAAACTGGTTAAGTATAATATATATCTTCCAAAAAATATGGGCGTGATTGTATATAATTTCTACAGTAAATATCCCACTCAAAACTCAAATTTAACTCAACTTTAACTCAACTCCACTATCTCCAATATTATCAATATAATTAAATAATATCAACTAATCATTATTACACACCACATCAACTTTAATTCACTATTCACACACTCACATAATTTTAACTAACCATCGCTTCCAATTATTTTCTCATGCTTTTACATCAAATCAACTTTAATTATTTTAATTTAAATATTATTTTAATATATCCACTAACAACTAACCATATTACTTTTTTTCAAATTCAACTATAGTTAAGAAAAAAACTAGTTTTTACTAGTTGAATTCATATCCAATCACCCCCTATGTTTGTCTAAACGACAACTATTGAAATATAATACTCAAATGTCATAAATGTTCTCCTCCCTCTTTTGACTTTAAAATTATAGTCTTGACATGTAACTGAAATTGTAAATTAAAGTTAATTTCCTTACATCATATAATTTTCTTTAATAACTTTGTGATGCATAGCATAGGTTTATTTTGAAGGATTGATGACAAATTGTACACACTCCAATTTAAAAACTTCCTAAATTTGTTCCAACTCATTATTGATACTTGGGATATCATTAAAAAGTGAGTGAGAGTCAACTTCATCAATATTACATAGCTCATTACAGCTGGATAATGGTTGGAAAAAAAAAAGGGCTAGCTTGGAAAATTGTGTAGGCTTGAATTTTGTTAATCAGATTTAATTTTAAAAAAAAAGTGGTATGATTAGTTGTCAGTAAAATTTTAAGAATGTATTAAAATAATATTTAAAATAAAATAATTATTATTGATTTGATGTAAAAGTAATAAATAAATGATAGATAATTAAAATTATTAATTTATATTATTTAATTATATAAATAATATTAAGAATAATGAATTGAGTTAAATTTTGAGTATGAAATGAATGTGATCAAATTATTTGATAAACAAGTATGTCCTTAGGCTTTTAAAACTGACAAACAACAAAATTACACTTCATACATCTATTTATCCATTACCAAAAAATCAAAATCATGTAGACAATTTTTGTATGAGCAGCGTATCATACACGATGAGTATATATTAAAAAAATCACGTGAATTTAACTGAAGAATTTTAATATACCAAGTGTGTAGGTAATTGTGTCCATAAACTCTGATTTCTCAGACTTGTTAAAAATTAAAGCAAATGTCTTTTAAGATGTTTTGCCCAAAATATTATAAAATATCTAAATGACCCTTTGAATAATATTATAGAAAAAAAAAATAGAAATAATTATTATATGNATAGATATGTGGTACTACCTCTTATTCTTTTTAAATGTCATTTTGACTTTATCTACCATTAACCAAATAAATGACAGTTTTGAATCTTTTGTACATATTTTTTCATTATTATCCTCATTTAACTAATAAACACACTACGCTTTTTCAT